ATGGCTGTTATTTTCTTCCTCTCTGCTGTCTTGCTGGACTCCATCTGCGATGATGTGGGATTCTGTAGTGAAAGAGGTGTGGGGAGGTTGGGGAAGGGGGGAAGAAAACTTAGCTAATACCTACATAGCATCTTTCCTCTGCATGTGCTGCCTCAAAAGACAAACTGTGGGGAAATGAGAATAAATTAGGAGCAGTTTTGGGAATGAGTGAGTGGGGTCTCAGCCTGAGGAGAATGGCAGTGACTGTAACGTTTAATTTGTCAGGTTGATGTAGACAGTGAGAAAGGCTGTTAGCTGCATGTTGTCCTCCTGTCAGGAGTGCTGGGCTGGGGGAGTTGAGAGCATCTGGTTCTCATTGGGCACTGCCTTTACTTGGTCTTCATTCTTGTTTGTGACATTATGTCTTCCCCCTCCCTTCCTCCTTCCTTTCCTTCCTCAATCCTTTTTTTTTTTTTTTTTTTTTTTCTTCCAGTGAGTTTACAAGTCTTGCTGGAATGCACATATGGTCCTTATCATCCCCAAAGTCCAGCTTTTTTTCCCTCCTGGTTAGCAGTTTGTGACATCAGGGGCTGCTAGAGGCATTAGTCACTTTTACTCCAAATAGAAAAGTTAGTGGTTTTTGGAAACGTATGGAGGAAAATGTCTTTTATGTCAGCCCTTGGCTCAAATGCAGCCGTTACTGCTCTGAGTCTGTGCTGACCTTTAGCCAAACATTTTGCCTGGAAGATAAATGTTCTTTCCTACTCCCTGCAGCCACTTTGGAATTGTTGGATTTCGCTGACTTCCCTCTTCCCAGAGGAATGTGGCTGTATCCTTTTACCTATCCTCATGCTGTGCTGTGCCAATGGAAGCTGCTCTGTTGGCCACAGGCACTTGGTGCTGGGCCTGGGGAAGCCAGACTCTTCTGCTACCCTGATTTTCAAGGATTAAAAGGATGTAACGGCATGTTCAGGGTGAGCCTTGGTGTTCCCCATGTCCTCTCTAGTTATCAAGCTATTTCTGGGCAAAAGTCAGGGAGCTATGGCAGCACTGTGAGCACTGGCCATCCAGCTTGCCTCCCTCTGATGGATCTTCATGGTTTACTTGGCGTAATAATCCACAGAACGAGTGGATGTCTTCTGCAGTGGTCTGCTCCTTATGCAAGGAAAAAAGACCTCCCAGCCTCCAGTAGCTTGCGTACATCTGCCCCAGCTGGCAGCCAGGCGTGGAGACAGGAACTCCCCCTCTTAGGCTGGTGACACTGATGGTTATCCTGCCTAAAACAACAACAGGCCTTCCTTTCGTGATTAATGGACTGATTTCCATGGTCTGCGTTCTTGCACCATGAATGTGCTATGGCGGGGGGAGGGTTGTTTCCTTTTGTTTTCCCCAGTGTTATGTGTGAGTTTCCTCATCTAAGAATTAAGGGCTCAGTCGTCACTTCAGCCCGTGCAAGGAAAGAAGGGGAGGTCACAAGCAACTCCAACAGTGAGCTTGACTTTGGTGCAGGCTTGGGAATGCTTCATATCCTATTGGCTTTAACATGGGGAAAGGTTCTGATAGATCTGCCTTGTCCCTAGTGCTCTTTGCTTCTGTGCTACTACTGCTTGCTCAGCTCGTCTGTTGAGGTCCCTGGCTTCGGATGCAACTGAGATTACTTAAAGTGCCGGAACCTGTGCCTGGTAACAGGGCAAAAATGTGGCTGGCCTGTGCTGCTGACAACAATAAAAGCTTTCAGAATTTCTCAAAGGTTCCTCTGAAGTCGTGTGGCCTCCAATAACTAAACACTCGCTTCATATTTGTGGTCTAGCTCCATGTTTTGCATACCAGAATTTTTCCCCTCTTGAATTGGAGGCTCATTTTTGTTTTCTTTAACTCTTGGGAGGCCATGTGAAGCTGACCCCCAGATGCCAGAAGCAGTGGGACAGGAGGGGATGAGGGGGATATTTTGCTAGCAGAATTAAAGCAGAAGGGGCTCAGCCAGAAGGCTGTCGGGGCTGAGGGAACAGCTGCTGTGGTTCGGGGCTGAGTGAGGAGACCAGGGCAGTAACTACAGATTTCTTTCTGGTCTCATGCTCTGCAAGTTTCTGGGAGATACTTCTTTCTGCATCTTAGCTTGCTGACCAGGCACCTTCTCAAGCATAAGGAAGTACTCTGCTTTGCACTGCACCTCCAGAAGTGGCCCTCTTCTAATCCTGCAGCCCACCTTCTCCCTAGCTGCAGGCATGCTGTTGCTGTCTCCAATGAGAAAAAATAGGTTTATTTCCCTTTATTCCTGTTAGCTCTGCCAAGCCACAGCGGCTTAGAAGGAATGAGCCACTTCTATCCTTGCACACGCCTCGTCAGCCAAATTGTTTTACAGAGCTTCACTGAATTACATCCAGACAAGCCCAGAGCATCCGTTACGGCACTGCTTGACCTATAAAGCCGTTACCACCAGGAGCCATGTGTGAAGAAAACCAGATCCAGTGCAGAGTTAGCAGGGCTCTGAGCCCACAGTCTTTCTTGTCATTCTGCAAGGAATGTCTATTTTTCCTTACAGCTAAGGGTGTTGGGAGATGGGGTACAGGCAATTCATCTCTTCAGAACATCTGCAATATGATTGCTGATCCAAGAAATATTAACTGTTAAATGAGCTGTAGGTCACACTGCAGAGAAAAGTGCTCAGTATCTGTCCCAATAAACAAGCATTTATTTATTGTGCTGTAGCTTTTGTAGGGCTGGCATATGGTTTTAGATGTTCTAAAATTCCTTTCTGGTCACATAGATAGTATATGAAGAGGGAGGGAAGATTTTTTGCCCTGTAAAGTGGGAGTCTGTAGAAACAGGACTTTGTCCTAAGGAAGTTTCAACCTAAAAACTGCATTTAGGATGTCTTAAAGTCTCCTGGCTTCTGACACTGTCCAGACGTTCACCCAAGTCTGTGTATGTCTGTGGTGCTCTCTGTGGAGGTCTGCAGAGCAGTGGTTTTCCCCAGGCTGATCCTGTTTATGCCTTCAGAGATTGCAGGCTGGGAGGGATTATTCTTGTAGAGCTTGCAAGAGATCGGTGCTTCCACATTCAATGGTGTGTCTGGGCATTATTACTAAGGCACCATCAGGACTGCACTGTGGGCTGAGGGGCAGTGGAAGGGTTGGTTTGATCCAGGAGTGTGTTTAGATGCAGTGTGGAGGAAAGAGAGGTCTTGTGCTGAGTTATGTGAGTCTCCAAAGGGAAAAATGAGGAATTCCCTTGGTGGGCAGAGTGATGGTGTGCCTTTCTCCTCTGGGTGGAATGCCCTCTGCCTTCCTGTGGCAGGTGGAGTACATTGGGCCCCAGAGTACTGCTCATCTGCCTTCACGTGTACATCTTGGGCCCTGGGCTCAACTCTGGGCAAAAGATCCTTTGCTTATGGCAGCGTTCCTCTTCTTATTGACTGTAGGCACCCAGTTAGCAGCGGGGTGACTCACTTGAGAACGCAGCCTGCTGCCTCTCCTTGATGGCTGTCACAGCAACTCACAGCCTGAGCATGGTGACCATCTGATTTAACGTCTTGTTGTTTTTTAAACACTTCTTTCTTGCCAGACTGAATGCATGATTCACTTGCCTGTTCTGCTAATTATATGCTGAGCAGCCATACTTTTTGGTCTCCAGCAGAGGTTTGTTTCCACGTTGGTACCTCTGAGCTTGTGTGCCACTTGGGCTTCCACTTCTTTCAGATCTTGCTGAACCTCTAGAGCCCTGGGGGCTGCTGGGCAGCTGTATGAGCTCAGCCCAGTGTGTTCAGGCTAATTGGTGGTGACAAAAGCAAAAAGGTGATTGCAGAAGTGGTTTTGGCCATGGGAAGATTCATGCTGATGATTGCAAACAATAAAAAGTGCTAATTGTCATACAAAGGTGAAAATGTTCAGCCTCTGCCATGAGAGAGGAGAGAGATTAATTCAGCCCAGCAGTCTCAAATTGTCCAGCATGTTCCATGGAGTATGTAATAGGGGTATTGTGTTAAGCAGGGCTACATCTGTGTCAGTGGGTTGCTGGGGTCCCCCCTGAGCACTTGCAAGTTGCTGAGCTCTCCTTGCAGTGAACAAATCCTCCTTTCTGTATCCCTACTACTCAGTGAAGTGTGCTGCTATTTGGAGACCACTGCAGGGACATGGAGATGTGGGCTTCTTTCATCTCTGCCCACACCTTGGGCTCCAGGCATTTTCCTGAGGGTTTTGCTGTTCCAGGCAGATAACAGACTACAGTTTTGTCTCCTGTTATGCGGCGCAGCTTGTAGAAAAAAATACCCAGTATTGAAAATGCAGGTACTGGTTTTGTTGATGTTTGCTGCTTGTAGGAAAAAAAAACCAACACGCAATCAAAAAACCATGTAGCAAAAATAACTGACACAGATGCAGGAGATGAGTCTAACTCCCATTCCTGCTGAGTAACTGATGATGAGGCAGTACTTGCTTTCCCAAAATATATCAGGGAAAGAGATACCAGTACTGCGCAGAGGGATGTTTCACACCCACCAGTTTCTGCACAGCCTATGAGTCACGGGCACCCAATGCTTTCTGGGATCTGCCCCAAACTCCTTTCACTTAACCATAAACCCAAGCCCACTGGTGTTTTAAAAATACTTGTGTTACAAATGTTTAATTTAACCATTCATAGCATGCCTAAATCCCAGAGTCTCCTTCTATCAACAAGCTTTTCCAGAAAATCACTGTTGTGGGTCAGTAAAAGAGATGATGTTGGTAACAAGATGCTGAAGCCTCAGAAACAGTGTTTGGGTGTTGGTAGTTGGCTACACCCAGTTCATCAGTCACAGGCATGGAAAAGCAGTCTTGAAAGTGCTTGCATGCCTTAGTGTTGGGGACAGTTAGCTCTGGAACCCCACAGTGGAGAGCTGGGTACAAGTGCAGAGAGCTCATATGGTTAGACAAACCTGAGATGAAACTGTTGTCTTCTGAAAACTTCTGAGTCACCCTGATCTGTGTTGGATGTGACCTGCTACTCAGCCTCCCTGTTACATGTCTTTCTTCTTGCCCTTACAGAATGATGACCTTAGGAACCTGTCCCTGTCTGGCCATGTGGGCTTTGACAGCCTCCCTGATCAGCTGGTTAACAAGTCAACGTCACAGGGCTTCTGCTTCAACATCCTGTGTGTGGGTAAGTTGTTTCACATTATGGGTTCCATGCAAGTCCACAAGTTAGCATCTTATCCAAAGGGTAAGATCTGAGCCACTATTGACTTTAGTGGCAGGGAAGTGACAGCTTATTTCTAGAGCTGCTCTAGGCTAGGAACTACTATTCCACTTCTCCTTTTTTCTTGCTGTCCCTTGATTTGAGATTTTTGAATTCAAAGGTGTTCAAGGTGTTGATGGTCCTGGGGTCCTGCTTTTCCCAAAGGCTGCCGTAAGAAAAATAAGTTGATTTGGGAATTGAATGAATATTTGGAAAAATGTTAATGTAATTTAAATTTAGGCACAGAGGCTGCTGCTCAGTGAATGGCATTTCTTTTCTTCCAGGCTTTGCTTGCCTACCTTGTTATATTCTTAGTTTTTCCAGTTGGAAACGATGTTGTTTTTAGACTCCAAATGATGTATCAAGTACAAAGTCTGTCACTTATTCTCTGCTGCATTTAATCTGGGTGCTGCGAGTTGGTTCTGTAGCCTGAGTTACTGTGTAATTTTACCCAAATTTTTCAGAAGTGCAATATGGGGAGGTACCAGATTCTTTTGAATATGGAGAGGTGCTGACTGTCTCTATACTTTATAGCTATTATACAGAGAGAAATCCGTTGCTCAGCCCTAGGGAGCTGTGTGCTAAAACATCACTGACCTAGCGGTGGACACCTTCAGGATATCTCCTGTGATTGAGGTTTATGAATACTTAAAAATGCTGTCTTTTACTGTTAGCTTTACAAAACAGTCCACAGAAAATATCTTTTCATCCACTGTTTACTTAATGCTTAAGGAGGGCATATTGTCCCTTCTAATAGGGGGGATCCAGAGAGGTTGTGGATGTTGCCTAGAGAGGCTGTGGGTGCCCCATCCCTGGAGGGTTTCAGGGCCAGGTTGGATGGGACCCTGGGCAGCCTGATACTTAATCTAGCAATTGGCAACCCTGCCTGGGCAGGTGTTTGGAATGTGATGATCCTTGAGGTCCCTTCCAACTCAAGCCATTCTATGATTCTGTGTTTTTAATAAATTAATTAACTAGGAATAAACCACAGCCCTCTGTGATGTTCTGTGGCAAGATGAGACTTTGTCTGCAGAGCAGGATAAACCATCTGAAAAAATCTGGCAAATGAACTCATTTCCTCTTCATAGCTTTGTGCAGTGAAGAATGAGATAAGAGTAGTATACTTGTTTGTGCTCAGGGTATCAGCCATCACATGGCTCTTCTAGCAGCATGAAACCATTTAAAATTCAGCAGGGAATATCTAGATTAGCAGGCAGCTCTTTGATCAAAATGGCATAAATTAATTGCCTTTTTCTCTTGCAGTAAATATTCCTCTCTTAGCATGACTTGATACATTTCCATTAGCAGCAATTTGCTCCAACTCTTCTCTTATAAAATGTGCTGATCAACCATTTTTAGCTCCAGATTAAAATTTCACACAAGTTCCTGCAGTTGTCCAAAGAGGAGAAACTTTCTCCTTAAAACAAAACTTTTCAAATTGTGTTTTCAGAAAGGACACCATCGACTTTGACATAGTAATGTGAAGCTTTTAGTTGCAGTGTGCATGGCTGAAATGCTGCAATGCTGATCGAGCAGAGCATTCAGCAGTGCTGCTTTCACATCAGGAGCTCACTATAATGCATAGCTGCTGACTGTTTCTGTGGACACAAATACCACATGGTTTGCTGAGGTCTTCGAAGTGGGGCTTCTGCACATTTTGAGTGAGAGGTCCTAGAAGAGTGCAGACAGCCCAGAGACATGCTTGGGGGCCATCCCAGATGCAGGCTCTCTTCTCCCCCTTTATTTTCTGCATTGGTGAATCAATCACTTCAATTTAAGATTTTTCAGGGCAGTGGGGAATCTTGTTCACAAGCGAGTAGTTTGCCTAAATGCTAACTGTAGTGCAACAATGAACGTGGTTTGGATTTCTTCAGAAGAGATGCAGCTTGGCATTTCTGTCACTTCTGTTATTAAAAATTGTGTGGAGAGGAAATTTTACTGAAAACTTGGCTTATTTGTGGTATGACCTTGAGATACTTCCTCAGCCCACCCCCTGCTCACAGCATGGGCAGCAGTAGCAGTTGGAGAGGGTAACACTAAGCAAACACTTCTGACTTAAAAATGGGATTTAGGCTAATGCTTTCATCGGTGTTACTAATTGCACCGAGGCAGTTTTAAAAGTTGGTATTTATGTAGTATGCTATTTCAGATGTTATTATTTTTTATTTTTTTAATTTTATGTACTTCTCTCAAGTCTTCATTACCCAAATTGCATTTTTGTTTTTTGTAGTTCTCTTGAAAAACAAATAGAAATGATTTTGGGAGGGAAAAAAAGAAGGGCATAAAACCACACAGAACTGAATGCCTCCTTGAGAATCAAGCTTAGAGTTGAGAGAAGTTACAGTTTGCTTCTGTAAAAAAAACAAAAGCAAAAAAACCCAGCAGAACGAGGTCTTGACCAACAGTGTTACAAAGAGAATTAAGTATTTCTCAAGTAAGAATGCTTCATGCTGCTTCATCTTTGTGCTGTCAAGCAGGAGTGTGCCTAAAGCTCTGGTCAGGTCATAACAATGTAAAAACAACAAGTAACAGCTGAACTCCACCGAGAGCAAATGCTTCCTTGGGAAAGGAGTGACTATCTGTCTTACCCGCCATGCCAGTGTAGTAAGTCCAGTAACTGACTTCTGGTAGCAGCAGGCATTTGCTGGAAGGAGTCCTTTTCCTTTTTTATGCCAAGGGCCTCGCTCAGCAAATGTCTAAGTGACTGTTCTTAAAACGGTCTCTTTTTTTCCTTTTGCTGTTTCTAGCTCAGCCTGGCTCTCTACCTGCAGGTGATAGTTTTTAGCTCAGAAGGCATTTGCTTTATCTTATGCCTGTCAGAGCAGCAGCTTTTGCCTGACAGGAGCTTGTTTTGGATTCGCTGGTGCATGGTGCTTTGATCAGGGACATCTGCAGGATGCGCTGCACAGACCTGGCCAGTCTGACCTGCAGAGGCAAGAGCTGCTGTCATCTCATGTTGTCCACAAAGTCCCTTGTTCAGTCCAGGGGTATTGGTAGAGACTGAGACTGTCTCAAAAGACATCTGTTCCTCCAGGGATTATTTTACTTGGCTGTATGTACATAGCCTAATTCCACTAGTGGAAAAGCAGGGTAACTCCTTAACCTGGTGAATGTGCCTGAGGATGAGATTGGGATAGGAGATGGCACCATTCTGACTCTGTTTTTATCTGCTCAGGTGAAACTGGCATCGGCAAGTCAACGCTGATGGACACTCTGTTCAATACAAAGTTTGAAAGTGAGCCTGCTACACACAATGAGCCTGGTGTGAGATTGAAAGCCAGGAGTTATGAGCTCCAGGAGAGTAATGTCCGTCTGAAGCTGACCATTGTTGACACGGTTGGATTTGGAGATCAAATTAACAAAGATGACAGGTAAATTTATTTCTACTGGGAGAAGGAGTCCTGGTGCTGATGTGCTCTGAGATCAGAAAGTCTCAATCCTGTGTGGGGAACAGGGTAGGTCCCTTGTTGTTCTGGGGATACTATGTGATTCTAGTGTGACAGCTGGCACTGCTGACCTTGAGAGGCGGGTAGAAGTGGCGAGAAACTGAAGAAGTAAAAGGATCAAGTAGAGGGTTACAAAGCTGGAGCTACGTTTCTGCCAGCCTTATCGTAGCATCACTAAGGTTGGAAAAGACCTCTAAGATCATCCAGTCCAAACCATCACCAGCAAGTCTGCTAAACCGTGTCCCTCAGTGGCACATCTACACATTTAATGAACACCTCCAGGGATGGTGGCTCCACTGTCTCCCTGGGCAGCCTGTTCCAATGCATTACCACTTTTTCTAAGATGAAGTTTTTCCTATTATCCAACATGAATCACCACTGGCAAAACTTAAAGCCATTCTGTCTTATCCTGCCACTGTAACCTGGGAGAAGCTTACCCTGCCTTACCTCAACCTCTTATGTTATTGTAGAGCGCTCAGGTCTCCCCTGAGCCTCTTCTCTAGACTGAACAACCACAGTTACCTCAGCCACTCTCCATAAGGCTTGTGTTTCAGGTTCTTCGCAGCTTCATTCCCCTCTCTGGTCACACTCCAGGGCCTCAATATCTTTCTTGTAGTGGAGGGGTCAGAACTGAACGTGGTGCTAGAGGTGTGGGCCCCATCAGCTCCAAGAACAGAAGGGTGATCACTTTCCAAGTCCTGCTGACTACACTATTTCTGACACCAACCAGGATGCTGTTGGCTTCTTGTCCACCTGAGCATATTGCTGGCTCATGTTCAACTGGTTGTTGACTAATAGCCCCAGATTCTTTTCTTCCACTCAACTTTCCAGGCACTGCTATATGCCTGTAGTGATGCATGGAGTTAGTTTTTGTAGCCAAAATGCACTTGGTCTTTATGAAACTCATGCAATTGGCCTCAGCCCATCTATCCAGCCTATCCAGATCCCTCTTTAGAGCCTTGCTACCCAAAGGCAGATCAACACTTCCTCCCAACTTGGTGTGTTCTACAGACTTACTGAGGATGCACTCATTCCTCTCATTCATAACATCAATAAAAATATTGAACAGACTGGCCACAATACTGACTCCTGAGGAAAATACTGATGACTGGTCTCCAACTAGATTTAACTGCACTCACCACCACTCTCTGGGCCTGGCCACACAGCTTAGATTTTACTCAGAGAAGAGTATACCTGCTCAAGCCATGGGCTGCCAGCTTCTCCAGGAGAATGCTGTGAGAGATAAAGGCTTTACTAAAGTCTAGGTAGGTTACCTTCATAGCATTTGCCTTGTTCAATGGGAAAGATCACCTGGTCATGGAAGGTGATCAGGTTGCTCAAACAGGACCTGCCCTTCATAACCCCATGCTGTCTGGGCCTGATTCCCTGCTTGTCCTACACATGCTCTGTGATTCACTCAAGATGATTTGCTCTGTGAACTTCCCTGATACTGAGATCAAACTGACAGACCAGTAGTTCTATGGATCTTCCCTCTGACCCTTCTTGTAAATGGGTGTCATAGTAGTGACATAGTCTCCTGTCACCTAGATCCTCCCTGTTTGACAAGGGCTGCTGATAAATGATGGAAAGCAGCTTGGTGAGCACTTCTGCCAGCACCCTCAGTACCTGTGGATAAAATCCATCCTGACCCATCAACATCCTCATTTGCCTGTCCCTCAAGTTCCAGACCCTCATTTCTATAGTGGAAGGGCACCTGAAAGGGTGAAGTGAGCACGGAGGGTGTTTGCCTTCCACTAAGGAAGATCTAATTCTAAGATCTAAGGAGAGATCTATTTCTATTCCTCCCTGTCTCTTAGGTCTCCTTCTCCCTGATGGCAAGAGGGTAAGGGACCCTCTGCTACTTGCAAATGTCCATTGGTACTTTTCTTGCAGGGATGGCAATGTTTCCCTCCACCCATTCATCTCCCTTTCACACTCCCTGATATCCTAGTGATGACTGCTAAGTGAGCTGGCCTCTTGAGCTGGGAATAGCTCCAGGCAGCTCTCTACTTGCCCTGGGGTCTTCCTGATTTCAGGACCCTCCCTTGCACACCGCAATGCCCTGCTCCTCTGCACAACTGCCTGCCTTGTCAAAAAGTTGATGGTGGTCATCTCCTTAGCACCCTAATGGCTTTTGCTCATTGCATGTATTTCCAGCCAGCAATCATCAAGTGAAACTGGCATCAGCAAGTCAGTGTTGGTGGATACACTGTTCAGTACAAAGTTTGAAAGCAAGCCTGTGACACAAGCTAGTGTGAAATCTTCTTCCAGATAACTAGTGATAGGATGAGAGGTTATGGCCATAAGTTGCATCAGGGGAGGTTCAGGTTGGATATCTGAAAAAATTTATGCTCAGAAGGATTGATAATGCAGTGGCACAGGCTGCACAGGGAGGTGGTGCAGTCACTCTCTCTGGAGGTGTTCAAGAGCCAGGTGGATGTGGCACTGAGGGGCATGATTAGTGGGCATGGTGGGAAGGGAATGATGGTTGGACTTGATGATTTTAGAGGTCTTTTCCAACCTTAATGATTCTATGATTCCGTGATGCTACCTCCTCAATTTCAGGACACACCTTGCACACCAAAATCCCCCTCTCTGCTGCTGAATGTACTTGCACCAGAGTTGATCCCCTTTGTCTATGTGCAGCTTAGTTTGAGTATCTACCTGAATTGAAATGTAGAAATACTTGAATATGCATTCTCATGTTGCAATTGTTTTTCCACCTTCAGGTGAATGGAACTCGGATTGTAGTTCCTGCCCACAACATCTTGCACTGCTCAAGTCCAGCTGAGTTTTGTTTTAATCTAGGCACAGATTTTCATGTTGCACGTATGAAGTAAATATTCTGGGCAGCCTGTGTTGTGAGCAGCCTGCACAATTCCTTATATACGCCCACATGGATTTTTGCTGTTATGTTTAAAAACAGTCATTTGTGATAATGGCTAATAAGCTAATATTAATGCATTTCCTACATCTTGGAGCCATGCATTCCCTCATTACAGCAGTCCCATCTCCCTCTGCAGTCTTCTTTGCAACTCTGTTCCCTGCACCTAAATAAATGAGGGATGCTGGCTGTCAGTGTGTGCACTGAGCAAAAGCCATAAGGGTGCTAGGTAGATAAACAACATCATCTCTTTGACAAGGCAAGCTTAAAGTGAAAGATTACACTGACAATTCTGCTAGTGTGGAGACTGAGCAGACACCGTTTCTTATTCCCTAATGAAAACTTTGGTTTTTGAAAAATATCATTATTTTTACAATGCTTTGTTTCTGGAATGCTTCCATGCTCCCTGACCTGCCACTGAAGTGCAACTGTTGTCCTTATTTTGCTGCTCCCTAGCCAATGCTGTGGAGCTGATGCAGAGAGGCACGCATGCCTCTTGGAAGGAGCTCTGCACATCAGACACTGCCATATGCTCTCAGGCTAGAACAAAAGCTGCTCAGAAGAGGAGCAGGTGCTCAGAGTGGGGATGCTCTGCAGCTTGTTACTGCCGGGTCACTTTGCATTTGCTTTATTCAGCAGACAAATGCCAGTGGTGTGGGTAGTGAAGCCCCTCTAACTTCCTGGCAGCCAATTGGAGAGCAGGGCCAGAGACAGCCTGCGTTTTGCTCTGTCCCAGTGCAGAGCTCTGCTTTTGTATGGACTTTAGTCTGCCGCGTGTAAAATCTTGCTGCTTTATTAGCTTCTTGTGCCTGCAAATTAACTAACAGTGCTCAATGATGTTTCCTGAGTGTCCGGTGTCAGTGGCCATTGTGCAGCAATGGCTATTTCCTGCTATAGCTCTTCCTTGGTAAATTGAGCAAGACTCTGTTCTACATAAGCCACAGTTTTGAGCAACTGCTTGAACAGCTGCAGTGGCATCTGGAGCAGAGGGTCAGGACAAAAAACTTGTTGGCTGCCTGTTGTGTTTCCTGGAGAACCTGAAAACGCCCCTTTGCTTGCTTCCTCACAGCCACTCCTCAGGGAGGGCATGAACACCACTATGAATCCAGTACTTGAGATAGTGGCAGTGTTGTCTGGTCTCAGTGCCATCCTCAGAGGTCTTAATTGGGCCAGAGGTTCTGAGGTTGCCCTGATGGAGAAAGCAGCAAACAGAGAAGTTTCTTTTCCAGAAGTATGATCAGTCAGATCAGAGCATGTTAAACCATGTCAACATTTTTTTTCAGTCAAAACAGTCCCCCCATACAGTCTCAAACGTGCAGTGAATTTTAAGTTTTGCTCACAAGCTTCAATTCCTGAAAACCTTTTTTCTTTTTTTCCCTGGCTATATCTTTCTTTCCTCTTTTAAGATCACAAACAAAATTATGGAATAAATAGGGGGAGGTGATTTCATGGTTACATTTTCTTGTTTTTGGTGATTTTCAATGGTGTTATCAGATCAGTGGTTCAGATCTCAATGGGAGATACTCCAAAACAGATTTTTCTTCAGGGTAGCAGCTTTGTGTGTGTGCACCAAAAGTCCAGGGTCTCTGCCTCTTCTCCTTGCTAATTTGTCCATAATAAACTCCCTGTGCACCAGGCAAAAGCACACACTTGGTAGGAAGGGACTGTAGGTTGCATGGTGAAGGTAGGAACCAAGTGCAGCACTTTTCTTCATAATGCGCTGAGCACCCATGAAGCTTCCTGAGTGTGGTTCAGTGACTTGTGTTGTCCCAGCAGTAAATGTTTGCTCAGTGCTCTCTCTTCTCTCTCCTCAGCTACAAGCCCATAGTAGAGTACATTGATGCACAGTTTGAAGCCTACTTGCAAGAGGAGCTGAAGATCAAACGATCCCTGTTCAATTACCATGACACCAGAATTCATGCCTGCCTGTATTTCATTGCACCAACTGGACACTCACTGAAATCCCTAGACTTGGTCACCATGAAGAAGCTCGACAGTAAGGTACTTGCTGCCCATGTTATGCCCACTGCACAGCTCTGCTGGCTTTTGTGGGCTTTATGACGTTGCCAAAGACCTAGCTAAACCTGCACAGAAAAATACTGTCTGTATTCAGCAGCAGGGAATGGCAGAGATGTGGTGTGAAAATTTTATTTTCACAGGCTGGTTGCTGGGATGGGTCATAATTTACTGGTTCATACCTTGCACAGATTTAATAGAAGCGTAGACTCTCATCCTTTTCCAGTCCCATTCCCAGTTAAGAAACTAGACTGCTTTGCTCCACAGCTACACTGTATAATTAACAGGAGAGCTGTGGTTTAACACTGCCAAGTTCAGTGACAGGTTTGTTCACAACTGAAAGATTACTTGGCTGCTGGGGGAAAAAAAGTGTTTTTTCCTCTTTCAACCCATAAACAAAAATGAGAGGTTGAAGCTGAACTCAACTAGTTCTGCACTGAGTTTTTTTGCCATCTCTAGTTTACTTTATCCAGTGACTAGTTTTGGTATAAAACCTCGTATAAGTATATGTTAGAGGGAGAGAAGTACATCCAAACACATAAGGTCACCTTATAAAGAAAAACAAATCAGAATGCTGTGTCTGCATGCTCTGAGCACATCCAGCTAGACACAAAAGTGATTTGTACTTCAAGGCAATGTAATGTTACTCTAACCATGATCTGATAAACACCAAGAGTCTGAATAAATGTCATTCCACGTGCATTTTTTCAGTTGCCCTCCTTAAGTCGCAAAAACAGGAACCGAACTTGGTTTTTATCGTGGTTCCTCACTACTAATTAGTAAGTTTTGATGTCTCTTCTTTCAGGGAAAATAGCCAATGTACAAATGTACATTCAATTGAGATTTCTCTGTTTCTATACATCATGATTAAGCAGTTTAAATCTGTCCACCCTGCTCCTGTGGATTCTGATTCTGCAAAAGATAAATGATGACGATGCTTCTTTATTTCCTAGAGTGACCCATTGATTGGGGTTTATTATAGTGATGGAGAAACATCCCTGCTCTATTCGGCTTCAAAATAGGGTTACGGTGATTAACCCAAAATAAGCCAGCTGCCATTCATCGCCATTCTTTTGGCAAAAGGAGGATTTAATAACTCCAGGACATCCTCTGAACAGAATTAACTGATGTAATATAAGAGGATTTTCAAGTACTGTAGATAAAATCCCTTCATATAGGTCAATATTATCATCTTCTGTGCTAGCAATATTGTCGGAGGAGAGCAAGAAAAAGCAAGTTCTGCAAGATCAAACACAGAAAAATGGTCTGTCTGGGAGGAGTGGAAAGGAAATAACACCGCTTTCCTTCTTCTTGCATGCCTCTAGCTTCTCTCAGCAAAGCAGACACTTGTGTGGAGCTTGCTTTTTATGGGTCAGTTCAGCTACATCTGGACTCTGCCATCTCTCTGGGGCTTTCACATGCTGCCACTTGCTGTTTACTACCAGTGTTGCACACTGGGTGGGGAAGAAAGTCAGTCCCTTATCTTTAATTTCTGTTAACTACATCATGCTGTTATCTTTGATTGTCCAAGAGCTGTAAAGGGACAAAACCAATCCTCGCTTTGTAGTGCAGTGGTGTAGTAGAGTGTGTGCATGTGGGTGGAGGAGCAGACCTCTGTTACTGCTAGCTCCCATCCTGCTGTGGTGGGACAGCAGCCCTGTGGTGTGCCCTCGTGTCCCTGATAGCAGCACCTAAGTGAGCTCCTGTGGGAGGCTGTTGTCTGAGTTTGTCACAGCCACCCAGCCTGCTGTGGCTCAGAGAAGTGCCTATATGGTAATTTCCTTTTTTTTTTGGAACAGCTTGTAATAGTCTATGACAGCATTTCCTGTGCAGCCAATTTGGATAAAGAGGGGAATATGACAGAGACAGGAAATAGCATGTTGCCAAATTGCATTTGACTTCTTTTTAAGGTCATAATTGCTGCTGCCTGCCTATCCTGACTATGGCAGCAGCCATGGGGAAGTCTTCTGCTGGGTTGGTGTCAGCTGGTGGCAGTGCTGGGGCTATTGCTGCAGGATGTGCATGCTGCCCTGTACTCTCCTCATGGTGCAACATGTGCAGTGCTGTCCTTGTCTTGCAGGTGAACATCATCCCCATCATTGCCAAGGCTGACACCATTGCAAAAAATGAATTGCACAAGTTCAAGAGTAAAATCATGAGTGAGCTGGTCAGCAACGGTGTCCAAATCTACCAGTTCCCAACGGATGAAGAGACAGTCGCCGAGATCAATGCCACAATGAGCGTATGTCTTTCTTTGAGTTCTGCTCCCGTTTCTTTGAGTTCTTGCTTTCTGTGGGGCAATCCTCAAGGGCTGGGCATATTATACTATCTTTCTTTTGGCTTTTGAACTGTGGTCTGAGCACAGAAACCAGGCTGGCCAAAAGGCTTTTGTCACTGGAGATATCAGGCAGTGTAGGCTGCCTGACCTGACACGTTTCTTTGTCTGCCAAGCAATTCTCCTCTGAGCATTTTTCACATCCTCCCCTTCTCACAGTGTTCCTATCTCAGGGAAGGAAGAGGATGGGAGACAAGGCCTGGAGCAGTCAAGCAGAGAGCTGATGTTTGGGTTTCCTGTCCTGAGTGACCATTTGGTGCTCGGTGGGGTGAATCACTTCTGCTTTGTTTTGTTTTCTAGTGAGAGTGGGGCTGCCATTGATGCTCCTACTCTTGGCAGGGCCAGCAGCCGTCAGTGGCATGGGTTCTGGCTTTCATTTCCTTTCCTTTTCTGCAGCAATAGCATGGGAACTGAGGGCAGACAAGACTGAGGTAGAGTGAGCATTTAGTGGGTTTTACACTGAGAAATGACAGTTTGCCATGGTTCTGATTGAAGTGCAAGAGGAAGAATGCGAGTCCCAGGTTTCTGTGCCATGCCTTCACTGCAGGGCTCATAAGGCCATTGGGTGTCTTTAGCAAGGCAAGTAACACACAAAGGGATGTGCTGATTCCAAAGTAAGTGCATCTAATGTGAGCAAGACTGTGAGTGAACAGAAGATTGAGTTGCTATCGGCATTTCACAGGGAGTAGAGGTGTCATAATTAAGCCATTTCCTTGTAACTTAAAGACTTGTGGGAGTTTCCTGCACGGCTGCCTGTAGACAGCAATTTCCACATGCAGCTGCATATCAGACCCTCTCCAAATCTCTGCACTGTCTCCCCTTTTTCCCCACCAGCGTTGTGCTTGCAGCAGGGGGATGCTGGCACAGAGAAGGGACGTGCTTCTGCCCAGGCATTGTGTGCGTGCTGTTTTCTTCTGCGGGGAAACTCCTTTGCCAGTTAACCACATCCTCTGGAGCTTGGCTTTTCTCTTTCCTGCCCAGCCCATGACCACAACCTGGCCGCTGAGGCACCACGCCTGGAGCTCACGCCCAGCTGCTTTGGATAGGAGAGCGCTGCGGGCTTAGCTGGAGGGAGAGGCAAGCTCCCCGCTGGCAGCAGCTGTGCTTCTGGGAGCAGATCCCAAAGTGCTGCCACACCCGCAGAGAGACTGGGATGCAGCAGTGCTTGGTGACTCAGTCGTGTCAGCCCTGGGCTGGGTCACACTGGCTCTTCCCTTTGCTCACGGTCTTGTCCTTTCAAAGAGGAAGCATTAATAATTATTTCAAGCGACAGAACCTTGCTGAATTTTTAGCCTACCTTGCTTGGGAGGATGTATGTTATTTCCTTTTTCTCTTTCTTACTATTTTTTCTTAAGAGTTCAAATTCAACTCAAGTTTGTCTTTTTCTGTGCTGAACATGGTTGTGTATTGTAATTACATGTAAAATATATGCACTTCTTGTATTTTTAGGAATTCAGAGTTTGGGACTTGAGGTCTGAGCATGTTTCTAATCCAGACTGTCCCGTAGCTCTTTCTAAAACACCGGCTGAATCGCAGAGAGACTTAAGTAACTTAAATCCAGCACAGCTGCCACAGTAACCAGCAATCCTGGTCAGTGCATCAAAGGAAATCCCTAACCTTATTGTCCCTTTCCTCCATAGGTCCACCTTCCTTTTGCTGTAGTTGGTAGCACTGAAGAAGTGAAGATTGGCAACAAGATGGCAAAAGCCAGGCAGTACCCCTGGGGTGTTGTCCAGGGTATGTACCAGAAGCACAGATAAGTCCTTATCATCTTGTCTCATTCTAAGGAAAGGTGCATTGATCTCTAAGTGCCCCTAATCAAAATCTGTCTTGGGAAAAGTGAGATTGCCATTCTAAGGCTTCTCCTTAAAAACAGAGCTTTGTGACCTGGAGATAGATGGGATTCAGCCTGGCCTCTTGCTTTAGGGAAGAACAGGGTAACCCTACTAGGAAATGTTTAAATAACTGACTTCTGAAATGAAGACATAAATTGTCCTCTCTTCTGTGTGCTTTTCTGCCAGTAATGAAGCATGAGCGATGGGGAAGATCTGAGCAATTGAATGGTTAGGACTTTGTACGCAAGTCAGAATAAATATATATAGCAGGGGAGAGGAGGGGTTCCAGGGAGGGGAGCAGGTGCTGTGCCCTACCAGCTTCCTTCAAGCAGGAGCAGAACCAATCCAATACTGACTGCTTGGTGTGTCTTGCCCTGGTATTCTAACACATGGATGCGCAGCTTAAGTATGAAATCCCTCATAAAGTCAACTGAGAGCAGAGTTTAGCTCAGGATGTTTGAAGCCCAGACTGTCCCAAAGCTCCGTAAGATAGAGCTGGCCCTCGCTTTCCCAACTGGTGCTGGGAATTAGAGGCTTGAGACCATGCTGGTCTGTTGGTGGTTTTAGCTGCATATCCAACTGGAGAACGGCCCAGAGAGCTGCAGGGGAGCATCCACAGAACAATTCTGCAAAACTCATCCCGTTTTTTCTTCAGTAACACAAGCTGAGGCAGCCTTGGATTTATTGTCTATGGCTGTGTGCGCCAGAGGGTAATTCTGGGAATAGCTAACAGTTAGGAAAGAAGCTCTGTTTGGTAAGTCTTCTACTTGACATGTATCCTGCTGGGTTTTTGTTGTTCCCAGGAACTAAGAGCAGATAATCTAAGAGATTTATCTGGGTACCAGAGGGACTTTGAAGATCTGGCCCTAAATTGCCCCTTTCCAGTGAGACAGCTGCTCTGATCTCTGAAGGGGAGCAGCTGGAGTTCTCTGCTGGGTCCCCAAGGGCATGCTGCAGAGCTAGCAGCAGAACTGCTTGCTGTTTGCTGTTGGATCCTAAAAAGAGAACTTCCATCCCTTGTTTTTCAGAATACTCAAACTATTTTCTGCTCTGAAGCATGCAGTTCTCTGGTCGCAGTTCCATTGGAGGCTGAGCTGCTTGCTTTGCCAGGAGCTGAGTGGGGCATGCCAGACCCTGTTGAGCATAGAAATGGTAATGAGAGCACACATTCTACTGTACTTGTGAGCTGCCACGCTCTCAACCCCACAACCATAAGTGTAGGGCTCCTCTGTAAGGTCAGCTGCCATAGAAAAAGCATCTCTGGAGGGATATTCTCATATTCTTGCTTTTCCCAAAGCCACAAGTTGAGATTTTCTGGCTGCCTGCCATGACCCTGTTGGTGACTTGCAGTTAGAGTGGGCTTGAGTGGGAAGCACAATCCCATGTGCAAAGGGATCATATCACTACCTTGCTAGTGAAGAAATGCACGTGGAACCAAAGAAGGGACAAAGATGAGAGGTAGTGGCTATAAGTTGCACCAGGGGATGTTTGGGTTGAATATTAGGAAGGATTTCTTCTCAGAAGGAGGTTAATGCATTGGTACAGGTTGCCTTGGGAGGAGGCACTGTCCCTGGAGGTACTGAAGAGATGCGGAGATGTGGTACTGAGGGCCATGATTCAGTCATCATGGTGGGGATGTTCAACAGTTGGATGAGATGATTTTAGAGGTCTCTTCCAACCTTAATAATTCTATGATTCCAAGGAAACCTGGCTGCTGGATTTAATGTTCTCCCTGTGGATGGCCTGTCTTTGCAGTTGAAAATGAAAATCACTGTGACTTTGTGAAGCTGCGGGAGATGCTGATCCGAGTGAACATGGAGGACTTGAGAGAGCAGACACACACCCGACACTACGAGCTGTACAGGCGCTGCAAGCTAGAAGAAATGGGATTCAAGGACACAGATCCAGACAGCAAACCTTTCAGGTAGGGAGGTGTAAATCGGGTCTTGTACAGCCAGAGAGCTGGGAGGTCTTGGGGTTCCAAGTGTTTGCATTGACCAGGGAGGAGTAGCCATGGTCAGTAGAAGCAGCTGAGATCTGAAGAGTAGAACTTCGCACAGTGCAGTACTGCTCTCATGGCCTAGGATTTGTGCTGGAGAAACACAGGAAAAGGTTGGATGGTTGACAAAGCCAGTTCTTGCCTTAATATTTTGAAAATGTCTGCAACCACATAGGAGGGCTATACGTGCCTTCTAGAGCCTACAAGATGTCACCAGGATGCTTGAAGGCAATGCGTTTTGAGAGTAGGATATGACTCATTTCAGATCAAGTTGCATCCTAGGAATTTAAGAGGAAGGAGTATATGCCCACAGATCTATCTGCACCGTTGCTTACGTTGTACCAGCTTTCTTTGCACTCTTTGAGCTCCCTTTGCTTAGCTGCATCAAATGTAAGCTGCTGGCTATCACTTGCAAGACCTTTCAGTCCACCTCCTACCTGCTGTTGGTCAGCCAGTATTGAGAAGTTTAGAAAAAAAATGATTTCTAAACACTCCTCTTAGAGGTGGGAATCAGTTTCTCACTGATCTTCGTAAGCTGATGTTTGAAACTGTCTGCTGCTCTGCAGGGCAGGGAGGCTGCTGTGATGCAAAGCCTGCCAAGGGGATTTTTTCTGTTTCCTGATTTCATTGTGTTCTCAGCAATGTGGAAGTGGGCATGTTTTTGTAAGACACAGTAAGAGAGTTGGAGGTGGTCAGCAATCAGGGCTTGTAGGCACGCCTGGCTAGGAACAGTTAACATCAGTTAACATTCTTTGTGAGTTGTCATTTTCAAGCTAGAAAAAGCTCTTTTGGAGATTGCAAAGCTGATCTTTCTCAGTTTTGCTGTTGCTTTCCTAAAACCCTGTGTACTGTCCAGTCTTCAATAATGCTTACGTTCATCTTCCTGCTGGCAGCATCCTTCCAGCTTCCCAGAGAGCTGGGTGAGTCTGTTGAACCGAACACTTGTTAGTTGCTTGGAAATTTCCTCCTGATGCTTTTTTCCCTGGGAGAAGGGCAAGTTTTGAGATGGTCGGGTGATACTTTAATGGCCCCTTTCCTCCTCTAATGCAGACACAACTTTCTAGCTGCCAGCTCACTCGGCCAAGAGTCAGTGCCAGGTACAGTAGCTGCGTTTTGGCTATATCCTTTCTGAGATGAATGTGATTCGTGCATTGAGATATGAACTGATTATTGAAGGGGAGATCCTGGGGTAAATGTTCTTGTTGACCCTCTGGAGCTAGTCTAAGGTGCTGTGTGAAGACAGTACCACGGTCTGATGCTTTAGGTTTGTTTTATTGCTAGATACAGTTTATACCATCAGTGACAGCTTTGTTGGTTGGAAACCCCAGTCATTATCCAGGGATGACAGCTGTGTGGGAATTTGGGAGCAAATGTTTATTTTCTTCCTCTGTTTCCTGTGCCTCCCCACCTTTTTCCCAATAATTGCACCCGCTGCCTTAGCAGCATCCCACGCTCCTCTGCCCCAAGGGAGAGCAGTTAGGATTACACATGCATCTTTGCATTGATATCAGTTTGTCTCTGTAATGCACATGCATATCAGGAGGTGACATGCCAGTATCTGAGATGGTAGCCATGCAGATCACCACAGACAGACGTGATTTGTCTCTGATGTTCACTGGGGAAAAGCTGGGTCCATGCTGTTGCTGGAAAGTGGCAGAGTGTGACTCAGTGCCACAGCACTGAGTTTGCTTTGGTTAGGGGTTTGATTTGTGGCTTGCTGAGATTATGCAGCTGAGTTTCCTCTGTCGTGGAGAAATTGTGCAGAGATCAGTCAAGCCCAGTTCTGTTACGAAGCCCAAGTGTGAAGCTTTATTGGATTTCCTTTCTGGAGAGTAATAGCTTAAAATGGGCTCAGCCCGTCTCTTCCAGGAATCTAAGGAATTTCCATTACTTCCTGTACATGAGGCCTCTTTTGACCAAGCTATAAGTAGCAAGGAAATGAAAATGTACAGAATTTCTCCATCTGGTACGTGCTAGTTCAGAGCAGTTCACTCTGGCGGCTTCCTCCCCCTCTCCAATAAACAAACAAAACTCGTGAACTCAAGCTGTTTGACTGAGGCCAGTGTATATTTGAAATGAAGAAAACAGCATCTTTGGTTCTCTCTGTTCTTCTTGAGACTGGTGATCAAAAGCATGCCTTTGCCCTGTGCCTGAGTGCTGGGAGCTGCGGGAACAACATCTCTTCAGCCAGTTTGCACTGGAGAGCCCCTCGTAAGCCTCAGGGGGATCTGGGCAGTTACCCAGACAACTGATGGCAATGAGTGAGTGGTTGCAAAAAGGAAGCTGGCAAAGCATTTACAAGGTCATCCTGTAGTGTGGGGTGTGTTTGTTGGGAAATCTAGATACTCTTGGAACATGTGTTTGTGCACTTAAAAAGCAAATTTCCTTGTCATCTTTGTCTGTGAGAAGCTGTAGGATTCCCAGTTGATTTGAACTGTTATTCTCTTGGGACTATGAGAGTTTTCTCAAATGCAGCCTGGAGTTGTTGGGCCAGTTTCCCTGTGAACTTGGCTTCTCTGGAAGTCAAAGTAGCTTCAATGTGGGTTTCGGTTTTCTAGCCTGAGATTAATGGCAAGTATTTAAGAAGAAAGCTGGGATGAGCACTGAGCCTTGGCTCCTTGCAAGCTTTTCCCTGTTTGCACATCACCTGGCATTGCATTTTTGGAAACGAGCTTTGCAAAAAGTTGTTGGCAGTTCAGGATATTACAATTAGTAGGGTGGAGAGCTTTCCACTTCAGTCCATAAGGCTCTGCTGCTCCCTGGGATAGCGTGTCACTAAATGCTGATCCCATTTTTGCACACTGAACAGTAAAGACCAATCTTTACTGTTTTTCTGTGCTAGATCCTTCAGAAGGGTTTATGAATTGAAGTTTTATTGTCGACAGTCAGAGGATTAAGTCCAAGAATGAATTTCAGGGAGGCTTCAATTCAGATGTCAAGATCTCTATCTGCTGCAAATGGAGTGACTCTTAATTCAGCCAAGAATCCAAAGGTGCCTCCTGCGCTGCTCTCACATGAGAAGATTTTTGTGGTATTACAGTAAGTGGTTTTCATTCAAGATGTGAGAAGCTGTTGTGGTCAGCTGGGATTGAGCGATCGCTCCAGGGTGGCCAGTGCTGTGCAAGAAAGCTCTGGGCAGTCTCTCCTACGTTTTTTTTTTTTAGGACCGAATCAAAGCACCCATTGGTTAACAGTGCTAAGCCCAAGGCTTCTGTCTTTGTGTCTAGTTTTGTTCCCCAGTTCATAGAAAAAATAACAAAATTACAGCCATTAGCTAGGAGAGACAAAACCTAGGCATTAATGGGATGAAGACATCCCACTGGCCCAGTGGTTAGTGTGTTCCTTAGGTTCATGCATGCAACGAATGTCTCTGATTGCAATGGAGTTTTCACTTAAAAAAGAGAATTTCAGAAAAGCTTCTTGGGGAAATAGTTATCATTCCCACACTGTAGTGGTGGCGGAAATATCCAAACCCATTTAAGGAATAAAATGAAAAGGAATTTGGCATCTAGAGCTCCTACAAGGCTCTGAAAATCTCAGAGGTGCATGGACAATATATTTGGTGTCCCAGTACTTGCTGTGGTACCTCAGTGCTGGGGAAATAAAGAAATACAAGGAAGTGGAGGAGGAATAAAGGTATGAAAGAATCCAGTGGTGTGGTAATTCAGTGTAGGAACGATGCCTCTCATTTGCAAAAGCTTTGTTCTTCCTTGACAGTTAGAGGAGATAGAGAGGTCCCCAACGTGGCTTTATCTAAATAAAGCTCCTGCTCCGAATCCATTAGTAAAAAGTAGTGAAAATTAATTTTGCTTTGTGTCAGTGTCCTGCTTAATGAGCTACATAAAGCCAGATTTTGCTCTGTGGTAGGCCTGCCTTTGCTCCACAAACCTTACGCTTCCAATGAGATTCAGGGCAAAGAGTGTGAGAAGTGAGGACACGTGAATCAAGCATGTATCAAGACGTGTGAGCATCAGGGAATTCTGTAGGTGATTCCACAGTGACTGCTTATTTTGAAGACATCCTGACTGTTAAGCGACTTACAGGATCCTGAAGTGTGCTCATTTTTGCTTGCTAGTTTGACCCCCTGACCAATGCTGCCATCTAAGAAGCTAGGACTAGTTTTGGTGGAGGCATTCACTCCTTCTTGCGAGTCAGAGACCTCTGGTGATGTTTTGTGAAAATATGATGAAACTCATGACTCTGCATGAAATGCAGTTCTGACTGGGTTGTTGTTGTGGTTTTTGTTTTTTTTTTTCCTGTGTTTTTGCAGTCTCCAAGAGACTTATGAAGCAAAGAGGAATGAATTCCTGGGTGAACTCCAGAAGAAGGAGGATGAAATGAGGCAGATGTTCGTCATGAGAGTAAAGGAAAAGGAAGCAGAATTGAAAGAAGCTGAGAAAGATGTGAGTATATTGTAACTCAAAGGATGTTGTGTGAGGATTTGAGCTGGGCTTTTTCCAAGAGAGTCCTAAGAACTCAGGCACCTTGATTCTAACATCAAGCCTGAAAAGCACCTTGCCCGTCATAAAGAGTTTCAGGGAACAGATGCGGACTCAGCCCTGCCACGGGCTTGTGGTGTGACCCCATCACATCATCGATCACACATCTGCCTCAGGGAGGAGCAGAGAAAGCCCCAGAAAAGGTTATCACCTTGACTGGCTGTGTTTTCTTGCTTTGCACAAGCAAAGAGAGAGTCTGGTAGGTACAAAATGGCAAGGAGCAGAACATGAGGTTTGGAAATGTGCTTGTGGAGTTCCTGCAAAAACTTAAGTCTTGCTGTCTGTGCTTGTGTTAATTGTAGAGCTTTTCTCACAAGGGCTGATGTGCTTGGAGGACAGATCAGTGACTTGTTATCAGCGCAGGGAGATCCCCAGTGCTGATGGAACCACTTTAGGCATCATTTCCTGTAACTTGAGTTATTCTCCTTTTCTCTTCCAATTTATTGTTTCTGTCCTGGCAGCTTCATGAAAAGTTTGATCATCTAAAGAGGACTCACCAAGAGGAGAAGAAAAAAGTAGAAGATAAAAAGAAGGAGCTTGAGGAAGAGCTGAACAACTTTCAAAAGAAGAAGGCGGCAGCTCAGCTATTACAGTCACAGGCTCAGCAGGCAGGTTCTCAACAAACCAAGAAAGACAAGGACAAGAAAAAGTAAGCGGATGTGATCCACATCCTTTGTAGGGCTTATTACAATTTGGGGGGGTTGTTTTTTTAATTTCTTGCTGCATGTCTGTATTTGCTTTTTCCCACTACCAGACTGGAAACTGGGCTTTTATCAGAGTGGTCAAATAAAATATTTTTTCTAAAGGGTGGGCCAGGGATACGATCTTAATTTTTCTCTGGAGGAATATCTTCAAACCTTGCCAAAATCTGACCAGAATGGGAGAGCAATCAAATGGTGGAGACCTGTGATCTGCCCAGCATCTGTTGGAACAGCTCTGGGATGTTCTGGGTGCAGATTCATCTGTCTGAGCCAAAATTAAAAAGCGGTCTTTACCCATTCTTCCTCTCACCCAGCAGTAGTCCCCAGTTCCCATTCTTTAAGGTTATAGTTGTAAGTAGAAGTAAGATCAGAAACCAAAACCACCATGTTATTTTTATGTGGAAATCTTAGTGCCAAAAGCGAATATTTGGAAGCTTGCTTTAGAGTCAAGTTTTTCTTAGCAATTGCTATGGTACCATAACTGCAGGTAAATGGCATTTGTACTTGTATTGAGTTGACATAATAAGCTGCAAAACGCTCGTACGTTTTAATAAACACAATAGCACTGTTTTCTACTATTTTATATTTGTATGCTAGGAATATGATTCTCTACCCTCCAGTGCTCTGAGATTTCTGCTACTTCAGTAGTAACCAAGTATATCTGTGGACAGTCACTTGGGAAGCAGTTTTTAAAGATGTGTTCAGTTTGGACCTAACTCTGCTTCCACTGAAACTGGAAGAACATTGCCATTGATCTGGGCTCAGGGTTAAGTCTTTGCAGAGCTCTTCTGAAAACCTCTTGTTTGATCCAAATAGGTTTAATCTCCTTCTTGCAGCCTGCACTTAGAGCTGGCTATGTTTAGCTTGCTGGTAGTGCAAGAAACTCGTAGTTATGACTTGCTACTGGCTACTTCACCATCCTTTCAAGAACAGAAGGTTCACTTAGATATTGTGTGTATGATGAAGCCAGGCAGACACTGCAGAGGTGAAGCTGACTGTGCACAGCTTATTTGTGTAGTGTAGTGAAACAGATTACTGTAACAATGGCTACTTTGAAGCCTCCTGTTGTTACTTCCATCCATTTTTTCCCGTACCCAGTAAGAAGATGCTCATGTGAGTCCTTTCTGAGTCATCTGCAATAATGACACTAGTTGATAACTGCAATCAGGAAAGCTGCAAAGGTGGTAAAATAGCCAGTCTCTCTGGGAAATGCTTCTTTCAATCCACACACAAAAATGACAGTTCCATGCAACGCAGTGCATTTCTTAAGTTGACTCTGGCAGAGTAAGCTACTCTATTAACACTAAGTTGTCACTGTTAAAAGAACTGAAATGCTTATAGGAATGTGGTACAGACTCTTCTGTCTCCTTTGCTAACTTCAGCCAGCTCTGAGCTGCCTTATAGCGTGGGCTGTGAGGGTCTGTGGTATTGCATATATACTGGTATATTTTTATATTTTGGGAAATCATGCAGATGCTTACTGTACATTCCATCTCTACAGCTGGGTCAGTGGCTGTCATCCATCACTCCTGCCCCTGGCTTTCCACAGGAAAGTGGGGAGGATCTGGGGCTAGTTCCTCTTCTGATATAAATTGTTGTAGCTCCTATGGAGCTGTGCTGCTTTACGCAAACTGAGAACTTGGCCTTTGGCACCCACTGACATACAGAGGGCAACTGTGTGCTGCATGCTCTGCTTGGCTAAAGGAATCATTGCAGACTGATTGGTGCTATGCCGAAGTGTAGAAGCGAGAAATGTCTGACATCCCACTCCGTGAGAATGCCTGCAAACAGGGCAGGCTGAAACACAAGGAGCAGGAGCTGCTTCGGCGGTTCTGTGTGTCTGAATTACTAACGTAGGCTCTAAAGGGAAATGCTGATGCGTTTCCTTGTAGCGCATCCTGGTTTTTCTAAAGGCTTTAAATTTCTCTTGGCACTCTAATGAAAAGCCATGGGTTGTACAGGTAAGGCAACCTTCTGTGCTGGCATGGGCTGTGGTGGTGCTTGTGTGGCTGCCAGAGGAAACCTGTGCCATGCACAATACCTGTAGCCTCCCAGCCAGGAATTCACAGGAATACTTCTTTCCCAAGGTGGGGTCTGTTTTCTTCAGCTTGGACAGCGGAGACTTTCCACTGTGCTGTACAAGCTGAAGGGAAAGCTCAGCACCAAGGCTGCTGCTGGCGCAAGTCCATGAGGTAGACATCTTGGCCCCCTTGGCTATCTCTGCAGGAACAAGCTGTCTTCTACCTGATTTTTTTTCTACTCCACTTCTTAGAATCCTGTAGATTTATGGTTTTTTTCATTTTAAATTATTGCAGTTCTGTCCTGATGACACAGCTGCACTGGACAGCACATCTATGTGCCTCAACCCCTTGAGACAGTGTAGCACACTCCAAGACTTTCTTAAGTCTGAGATTGAGCATGCTGCCATAATTTTGGGATGGGATTGTGCTTCAAACCCGCACAATCTGGAGCTGGTTCCTGCCAATGGGTTTGGCAAAACCTTTTGAAAACAAGAGCAGCAAATGGACTTTTGGTTCTTCCTGTTTGGTAGATCACCATGTGCAGGCCTCAGTGTCGCTGGGTTACTTGCTCATCCTTAACTTGCCTAGGAGCCAGGACCATCTGTTTGGGCTCTGTTTCTGCCAAGATACTTCTGAAATCCAGATGGAAAACTTAAGTTCCAGCTTCATTTCAATATAATAATTTCCAGTCCAGTGTTGACTCTCTAGGTGTTATGGTCCATGCTTATTCCCAGAGCAATCCCTTAAGTATAGTGTACACGTCATGGCCTGGCCCAGCACTCTGTTAAAAGGATTTAATGATGTCTAAAGGATCTGAATTGGGCTTGAAAACCAATTCTAGGGGACCTCAGGGTGCTCAGCTCTGAGACATCTGCATTTCAGAAAAGGCTGGCACAGCTTTCTACAAGAGTGCCCGTGTTCAAGTAACCCAAACTGAACATCTCCAGTCATGTCCTGCCACCACACATCTCCTGAAAATGCATAGTTTAAAGGCACCAGCATACATACACCTGTAACCCTGGATAACTTTGGTGGTTGAATGTTCAGTAGTCCTTCCCTGTTGGATTTATTTTTCACTCGTGCTTGTCACATAGGCTAGAGTAGAGCTCAGTCTTGAGATTTAATTTCTTTTTAATTCCATAATCCATCTGCATGCCCACCCACCACAGTGGGTTGCTGGTGTCCCAGTGTCAGCTCTCCCAGCTTTTCTTGATTTTGGTGGTTTTGATTTTTTTGATTTTTTTTTTCATTTTGGGTTCTGTTATTGCTAACTTTTTGTTTTTGTTTTTGTGTTTTTGTTTTTGTTTTTGTTTTTTTTTTAACTTGCAGTGCAAGCTTCACATAAAGCCTGTCAAGCCAAGGATGTTCCTGCATTCATCTGCTTTTGCAGTAATGTTTCTGCCATCTGTTTTTTCTTTTTTTTTTCTTCTCATTTTTAACCTGAATAACTATTAACTCATCTAATAACGTAGTGGGAACAAGAAGGAAGAAGGGTTGCGTGCAGGACTTTGTGCAGCAGGAAACTGAGGGGGGAGGAAGGGAGGGAAGCAAATGATACCACGTGTTTTTCTGGTCCATACCAGCAATGGTAAATCACTCTTGGCTCAGGTCTGAACTGAGTCAGGGCTGGAGTTTAATTCTACCTGTATCCCTTCAGTAGCTAATGTGTTAGAGCAAAATGAGCCCTGCTGTTGGGGTGGGATAAGGGGAGGGGGGTATCTGTGTGTAGATAACAAAAGTTTAACTGACCTTGCATGCTATTACATTTGCATGATTTTTTTTGTTTGTTTGTTTTAATTAGCTGCTGTTTCTGTTGTCTGACTGGATAATATTAGTTGGGCTGGGTTTGCTGTCATGCGCTGGCGTATTTTTACAGCCACCCTTTCAGGTCAGCGCAGTAGCTCCTTGCTGAATGTAGTGGTGGGAGCTGAGTGGTGCTGCAGGTACCTGGAAAAGGGACCTCTTTTCATGCTTTCCATGAATTGCTTGCCATTGAAACCCAACTTCAAAGAGCGCTGGGTTCTTAGACTATTAGCAAGACGTAGCAGCCCCTAAGGAATCAAATGCCCAGGCAGAAGGCCTAAAAAAGAGGGTACCTTCGACATCCCCCTGCTGCCTTTGGGAGTGTTCCTGCGTACATATAAATGCAGACCCCGTAGTTGCAGGATCCAGGTTTCCATGCTGAGAGAATGCTGTTCTGCCAACCAAACGGTGGTTAATGTGAAAGGTGGGAATTAGGGTCCCCATCTCTGGAGGTGCACGCTCCAGAGCAGAAAATGTGCCAATTCCTGAACGTTGATGGATGACTGCCCCATTGCCTGAAAAACATCAGAAAGTTGACGCCTCCAAGCCCGGGGAGCTTTGCACAACAGCTGACAGCCTGAGAGAAGGGCTTTCTCCAGACAGATTCATGTTGAGGAGTGGCCAGAGGTTTGTCACTACCTGCAAGTGACTCGAGATCCTTGCAGGGATGGAGAGCGGCCGAGCAGGGAGATGTGACATACAAACAAGACACCTCTAGCATAACCAGGCCTCGCTCTGTGGCCATCATGGTGTGAAATCAGTCTGCTTAATGTCTATTTTCTATGCCATTGCTTTTTGGACAGAATCTTTCCCTTCCTACCCAAGAAGTGGCGAGCCATGCTTACACTTTGACTGCTGGATTTCTTTCTCTTCTGCTGATGTACTGCCAACATTTCCTTTGCTCCTAGCTAGGTAGTCTCCTCTTTGTTTCTTTAAAGCACTCCTAAAATAATTCCCTCCACCTGAGTCTCACACACTGCAGTTCATTGCTTGCTTCTGGGATGGTATTTCTTACCTCTCTGAATGTTCAAAAAAAGTCAGAATTGTCACCTTTTTCTGAAACAAGACAGAATCACACTTTTTGGAGAGTTGGCTGACAAAATGTGTTTGGGAGTTGACTTTATTTGTTTGTTTGTTTGTTTTTTAATCTTTTTTTTTTAACCCTTACCACTTAAACATGGCTTTGGGAAGAGGAAATACAAATGCAGCCTTGTGAACACGCAGCAAAAGTTGTAGATGAGTAAGCTGCAATAAAAGTCATCGTCTTTTCTTTTGATCACACCTCCTGGTCTTATCAACCATGATGTGCTTCCATCAGGTTAAATACGATTCTTAGAGAGCTATTTTGAAAAGCAAAACTATGATTTTTCTGGCTTCTGGCAAACTCAAGTTTAAAATCTTGAGTTATCAAGGGGGAAATCTGTTTGCTGGCACGAGCTATTTAGTCACATCACATGCTCTTGTCTCAAGCCTGAATGCTTGTGGCAGTGTGCTTTGCTTCAGCTGTCTCTGTGCATGCCCTCTCTTTAATTACCAGCACTTTGTGCCAAGTTGAAAACTTAATTTTACCATTTATTTGTCCTGCTTCATTTGACAGCCTTTCCAAGGGATGTTGGCAGGAGAAGTCAGCCGAGTCTAGCGGTTTTTGTTGTTTTTTTTTTTTTAATAGAAAGCTGTGGCCAAATGCATTCATGTCTTTTTGATTGGGTTTCTTCTTTCAGTGAGAAGCAGGCTCTGGCTTCTCACTGAAAGAAGCTTTTACCCAGCTCCCCAGTTTCTGGGGAAACTGGGCTTAAACCATAAACTTGCTGAAGTGAAAGGTATTGTTTTGTTTTCTCTGCCAAAGATGTTAAAATCTTTTTCTCCTCAGTCCCCCAGGCCATGTTTAGCTGGTTATTGCTGCCCTTCTTTCTTTTCTTTACTTACGCCTTTTTTCACAGTAGTCCCTGGTTCTGCATGGAGTAAGGGATGCTTTCAGTCTAGCTGGATATGCTTTCACCTTGCATGTAAGTACAGTAGTAAGAGATTCACCTTTCCGTTCACCGCTGATATGGGCAAACCTGTTGTGTTTTTCTGGGGGCTTCTTTAAGTCCACTTACTTACAAGTGGCGTTGTTGAAAACCATTAAAAACTTTCTGTAATAATTTGCTTTTGCTAAGATTTTGAAGGAAAAAAAAAAGCCATAGGGAACATAACATCCAGCTGCTGTTGAATGTCTGAAGTTACCCTGCATGGCTCTGTGGGTCTGCTGGTGACAGTGGGGACAGCGGCATGCTTGTGTTGCTCATGAGGCATTGCGAATGTCAGTGTGGTGAAGCAATGATGATCAGTAGCTGCTAACGCTGCACGTCCCTGACACTGATAAACACAGGAATAGTGTGGATGAGCAGGAAAGCGTAGGGACATGTATGTTTCTGGGATGGTGGTGTTCCCTGTGCAGGGAATGAACCCCAGAGGTGAGAAGGGAACACAAGGCAGGCCACCAAGAGGCTTGTGATGGCTCTGCAGAGGTGGGCATGCGTGTGCCTGGCAGGGCAGGAGTTACCTTCTGGGGAACACACCCCACACTTCTCAGTGGCCCAAAAACCACAGTACACGTTGCACTGTGTGTGTGTGCTTTTGACAGCTTGAAATCCCATCAAGGAGATTCGTATCTCGGTGTCTGTCTCTAAGCATGCCCTTACCTAACGTGAGCAGTGTTTCTGTGGGTGGTTCTTATCCTGCTTCTCTTAAGGCATCCGAGTGTGGATGGAAATGTCTTTTTGTGTGTGCCATACCAGGTGTGTCCATCTGAAGCCAGCTACCACTCGCCCTCTGAGATGTCAGCAATGCACACTTGTCTCTCTGCAAGGGCCCTGGCTGCATTTGCTGCGTGCCAGATCCACGTCACTCTTGTTAGCATGGGACAATACAGATATGAAGGGTTTTTTAATTAACGGAAAATAAAGCTGTGAACAGCGGTAGAAATATTGTATTTGTATACATTTTTAATATTCTGATTGCCTTAAACTATAGATGTAGAACTTTATTACCTTGCTATTTGAAAATAACCCATGTTTGTTACTAAATAATTGTGTAACCTACATACAGTGTTAATGCAAAGTATATGTACGCATCTGTTAGATATTGTCACTTTATTTGATGTTAAAGTATTTTTTTTTAATTACAAATTGAATAATAACCTGGTAGCATAAGCTCAGTTCTTTCCTGTATGTGCTTTAGGCTGCGCACACAAGCAGTGCCGGCACTCGAAGTGGGGAGAGGAAATATATTTTTACCCAAACGCTTTGGTCTTGGAGTTGCCTTTGTGAGCTGGCTTTGCCGCTGCCGTAGCGGTGTGCCGGGGCTGAGGCAGTGCAGGTGCCCGGCGGGCTGCGCCGTGCTGTCACACTGTCTCCATACACTTGTGTTGGTGTCAGTCAGTCTCTGCCTGTGGCCGTCCTGTGCTCAGGCCTCTGCTGCCGCTGCGGTGCCGTTGGTTTGGATGACAGCTCCCCGGCATGCTCCCTTCCTTCACACTTTAAAATGCCGTCCCTCCGTTTCTTTTGTCTCTCACCTTTTGTGTTCCATTTCGATTCTGAACTTCTGTTTCTTTCTCTCTTTCTCTCTGTAGCTTCTTCTTTCTGTAAACGCCATTTGCCACAGCCCCGTGCTCTCCCAGCAGACAGCGGGCACCGGAGGAGCCCGTGGGCCCCCGCCGGGAGAAACCATCTCATTCCTCCATCTCGTCCACCCTCCTCTCCTCCCTTTTGTTTCCCTCCTGTGCATCTTGAGGGCGCGTGGTGCTGTGTGTCTGTGCTGGCCGTCTGCACAACCGAGGCTGCCAAATGTGACAGAGGTAACGACATGAGGGGAGAGCTTGGCCGTGATATGCAGTATTGCATTGCGATCTCTTCCCCTCTCCCCTTTATTTTTCCCTTTTGCCATACCGTGCTGCTGGCAATGAAGAGACTGGCGGACTGGCTGGTGGCGTGTGTGTAGCCACAGGGCTCCTTGCTGCCTTTGGATCTGGAGCTGGGACACCACAGCCTCATCAAAAATGTGTCCCACGCTCCTCTGATGTGATGAAAATGTGCCCACAGAACCACGTGCCTCCTTGGTTTTGATATGGAGCTGTGAGAAGCAGAGGTGGCTGCTGTTGCGTACTGCTGCACTGATGGATCTGTTCTGGACACTCAAGGCTTTGTTATTTTCTGGCTGTACAAGCAAAGTAGGGAGCTTCTCAATTGAGCCGCACTGACTTGTGCTTGGATTAATGGCTTCGTTTTGTGCTTATGAAGCCTAGTTAGTAATGATTTATTTATTTTTTTCCAACCATAAACATGGGGTACTTGTTTACTTCAGCTAGAGGCTCAAAAAGTGCCAAAGAGTTGTTCATAGGTTAGAAGGAAGCCTCTAAGCCTGGTGTGCAGTGACCTCTAGCTGCTCTGCTGCGGGTGGAAGGAGGCAGCCTGAGCCCCTTCCAATGTTTCCTGTATGGAGTCATGCACTTTAACTAAATACTGATGATTTCTTCTCATCTGCACACCTCAGTCAAAGAATTAACCCCCTTTACTCTGCTGTGGATGGATACTGCTGAATGTTTTGCCTCTTCCCATCAGTGTGTAGAGCACGAGCTGCCAGGGGTTAGCTGAAGGCTGTTTCCCAGAAGCACAATGTTTTGCAGCACTGCTCAGCGACGGGGGCTGAAGCTCCTTCCACACGGGTGCCTGTTTTTCTCAAGTGGTTAAAAAACCCTACAAACTGTTTATCCTGGAAACAACCCAGTAACTTCATAGTTACCATCTGAAAGATTATTAAATATTGGCCTTGTGTGTATGCAGTAGAAACTCTTATTTTAAATTTGTGGTGAGGGTTTCTCCGGTGGTAGCAGTCTGGCCTGTGAGACCTCAGAGCAGTGCTGCAGCCCTTCTCTTGAAATAGAGTCTGTTGCTTCACAGAGTCCTCTGCACAGTCCTCTGCTTCACAGAGTTGTCTGTCTGAGCCCTGCCATGTGTCAGCTCACCTGTGCCTTTATTTTGCAGTTCCTGGAGTTGTGCTGTGCTGATGCCTTGGGTTCTGCATGCAGCTCTGGCCCTCGTGTCTCCAGAAGGACACAGTGGAGGTAGCAAATGGCACTGCAATGCTAAATGGGATGGAGCGGCAGCCTGCCCTGTGAGACTGCTATTTGGAGAAGGAAAAGCTGAGATGAGAGTGAGCATTGGCTTTGTGGTGAGCTGGAGGTTGCATCACACGTCCTCTAGAGGTCCCTTCCAGCCTAAATTTTTCTTTCTTTGAGTTTGAGTTATGGTGAATTAAGTTAAGCCCACTGAATGGGGCTGGTGGTAGTTCCTACCTGCTGGTAACCAAATCAACAGGACCAGAGGCAGGGGGGTGCTCAGGGAAGGAGGAGGAAATCTGCTCTAATCATTGTGACTGATTTTCCTGGGGAGCAACTATGAACTTCCAGGTGTTGCCCAGGCTTAAGGATGTAGATAGTATCAGCAGGAGGTTAAAAAAAGAAGTGTGTTAACAGAGAACAGAGCTGTAAGGAATCTTAAGGGATTGGACAAATTAAAGCTGCTGCCATCCCTAACCTGGTGGATACTGTTTGTGTCCCTTGTGTGTGGACATGGGGCAGGAGCTGAGCTGGGAGCTTTCGGGCTTTGCTTTGCTTCCTCCCTCATGCCCAGGTGTTACAGGTAGAGGTGTAGGTGTCAGCCCAGGGAGGGGATGGCAGGGTGAAATGTGTTGCTGGACAGCCCAGCATTCATTTGTCGATTGGTGTCACCAAATGTCCCCCGCGGAGCTGGAAAGCAGCCTCACCCACAAAAGTCAGCAGGCACCTGACATTCTCAGGTCTTCCAAGCAGACACTTTTGTGGCACAAAGGGAGAATGAGGTGTTGCATGTAGTGGCTGCACAGCAATAATGCCAGCTCACCTTTGCATGCTACAGATCGTGCTTGGAACAATTGGCAGTGCTCTGTTGACACAGGGATGTGGTGGTTGTACACTTAGGGTGCTGACGTGAGTGTTTTAGGTTGGATATTAGGAAACATTTCTTCTCAGAAAGAGTGGTGATGCAGTGGTAAGAGCTGCCCAGGGAGGTGGTGCAGTCACCATCCCAGGGGGTGTTCAGGGACCACAGAGATGTGCCACTGAGGGACGTGCTCAGTGGGCATGGTGAGGATGGGCTGGATGTTCTTAGAAGTCTTTTCCAGCCTTCATGATTTTACGATTCTTTGTTCTGGGAAGTGCAAAGCTTTTATCCCAGTGGTGTTGAGGGAGATCAGGCAGCCTGTGGTTTGCAACCATTTTTCCTTCCTGCTGGCTATTCCCTTGAGCCATATTCTCTGCCTCAGCTGCTCTGGAGCCCTGCTTGAGCAGGCAGACCTTGTACCAAGCATGCTAGGCAGTATACATACTGTGATGGACTGAAGACTGTGAGGGAACCATAGCAGGGCTCACCAGCATCAGAGAATTACGTCTCATGTCCCTTCAGAGCTGAGTACATGCATTTGGGTTAGGGGTGCTTTGTAAAGTTAATCCTTCTGGTAGCTGTTTGGTTCTCCTTAGCAGTGCTGGTCAGGCTCCTGTCTGTACCAAGATATTTCTGGCATAAAAAAATGTTCAAGGGATACATTTGCAATCACAGAGTGTGAGTTTTATTTTCAGAAGTGCCATGGGCCTGCAGGCCAGCCAGGCAGCGCTCTGCCAGCCCACCAGCAGGACTGCATAGGTAGGTCTGCCAGACCAGGGCGGGTATCATCTGTCCAAACTGCATGCTTTATCAGTGGTTGTCTGTATCCAAGTGAAAGACGATCGGTGTGGCTTTGTGCTCAGCACCAGCAGGGCAGGGTGTCTCCCTCTGAAATATGTTAATGTAATTGGGGGTTGGGGAAGTGCTATGTCTGTGACACAGGGCAGGCACCGCTCTCATTCCCTCACCTTCCAGGAGGAGAGATGCCAAGAATGGAAACTGCCTCCGTGCAGAGGCTCACAGCCATGGCTACAGCACTTGCTGGAGAAGCAAAGAACTGCTCCAGCAGTCAGTGTTACCTTATGCTGAGCTTCCCTGCCTTCTGTTCCAGCCCATTCCCTGCCAGTTGGCACAGCCAACACCTTTGCCTTTCCTTTTCCCTTTTGTTTCCTTGTGCCATATCCGTTCCTTGCCTTGCGGGTCTGCAAATTGGTTTGGGCCTCGTGAGCATTCTACTGCTGCTGCCAAATAGGGTGGAGGAAGACTTCTTTTTTAACCACAAGGAGAGAAGCATGTGAAGAGAGAGGAAGCCAGTGTAAGTTGAGGCTTAGAGTTATTGCTGCTAGAGGACACCTTTGTCCCCATCTTCTCTTCCCCTTTGATGTGTCTGATGCAGTTGGAAGCAAACTAAAATAAGCTGCAGTCCTACAACACCCCCTCCAGGTTTGTACCATGCAGGTCCGCAGAGCTGGGAGTCACAAGAGCCTTCACTTCCCTCTGACTGCACCACAGCCAGGGCTCTGGGCTCTGTCAGGATGGGCAGGAGCGCTCTGCTCACACGCAATGCGCTTTGCTGGTGGGCAGCCTGCAGGTTACCTGGCACTCGTGATGAATCTACTGCTGGAATTTGGGTCTGGTTTTGCTCTGGGCTGTAACACTGCGTAATTTAAGGGAGAAAGATGCGTGCACTGAAGTGAGACTGAAGTAATGAGCTTTAACACCAGCGGGTGGTACCCTTCCACGGCACCCTGGTTGCCCAGTTCTTGGCCTCACAGGTGTGGCACAGAGCAGCTTCCTCACGGCCTCCATGTGAAATGGATCCCAAACCCAGGTAAGAAGCGTGAAACAGGACTCGGAATCCAGGACAACTTTCTTTATTGCTACCAGAAGGCTTTCATCAGTACAATGGCTCCAAATACAATACCTTCCTCAGGGCTGTGGAGAGAGCTTACAATTGGGACGGGTCATTCTGAGAAACAGAGGTGTAACATTTAAAAGAGACAAGCTTTTAAAGGTTTTACTCTTGGTTAGAAGTTACATGAACACAAAACTTGGGGTTAGGTTAGGGGCTCTTGGGGGTTTTGGGTTTTTTTTTTTTTGTTTTGGTTTGGTTTTTAGGTTTTTTTTTTGTTTGTTTTGTTTTGTTTTTTTGGTTTTTTTGGTTTTTTTTTAATTTTTTGTGACTGGTAATTACAAACCTGTCAAACCTCAGGCTGCCCAGCACTCCACCAAGCAGTGCTGGTCACATGCTAAGCTTATAGACACACAGAAAAAAAACAGATTCAGCAGAAATTAAGGTTTGCACTTGATGTTTAGAGTCAAGTGCTGGTGAACATCCACACTGAGTGCAACGTTTCCTGGTGCAAGCAAGAAAAAATAC